CTCTTCTTTTAAAACCTCCACTTAATAATAAAAGTATTGCTTAAGTGTGTTGTATCATTACATGTGTATACTGCACTTTCCAAGAGAAGCTTTACATGAGAACTATGAAAATGACCTTAGTAAAATTGTGGATAGAACTTTTTTTTTTTTTTGTTTTATATTCCTAAAGCACAGGCAAGCGGGACTGGTTAACATGAAGAAGCTATAGATAGAAAGTTATTGTATAGTCAGATACTGAGAATATATGAAAAGAGAATGGATTTAAAAAAAAAAGTAACCATCTACTGTATATTAGAACAAAGATTTCTGTGAATTAAAGTACTTTTAAAGAATGTTTAAGATTTTAAATAGCAGTTGTTGTTCAAGGGTTCTGGAAAAAATATAAATGCACTGGGTTGTTAATGCTATTAAATAAGCGGACGTGAATGTTTCTTTTATTGCTTTTTCAAGTAGCTATTCCTGGATCTGGGTGGGAAATATGATACAATGGAAGAGTAAATCTTTAGATGTGTCTGTTATTTAGACCTGGTTCTTCTGAAAACACTGGCCTCTTTGCTAGAAGAGTAGAAAATGCAAGAGATGGGAAGTGGGCAGATGTGGGGGACTGATTTTGAGCTCTCAAAAAAAAAAAAAAAGTGGTTGCCCAGACGGGCTTAGTTCAGTGCTGCCACGGTGCCCAAAATGTAAGGAGATGTGCAAGATTTTTGTAGGTCAGGTCTCAAGTCACATAATGTAAATATGCAGCCAGCAAAATCACAGCGGAGCAATTCTGCTCTCTGCCCCTGCGTGCAGTTTATTTGTCTGGATGACAGGGCAGCCCTTATCCCCACAGTGCAACCCTGAGCCTCAAATCTCGTAGGGATTTTGCTTCCCATGACTTTGAGACCCCCAAAGCCACCCTGGTTCCAGAGACGAAAGCTCAGATGTGCTTCAGGCAGAAGGTTAGTTGCACCCCAGCAAATTCCAACCATGGAGCGCGTGGACCTCTGCTCACAGCGAGGGTGAGCAAGCCCAGCACCCTGGGTGCTCGCAGCATGTGGGTGCACGTCGGGATTTGAGAACTTACTGTGTCTTGAGCAATTCTGGTTCGAGAATTCCTGGAGGAATCCTCGGAGCCGAGTTGTAGCTGTGGTGGATGCGTGGGAAGCATGAATGTGACAGGAGGAGACGTGCTGAGAAATGAGCTTTGCTGGTTAGCTTGGTTATAAATACTCTTGGTTGCGATTAGCTCCTCTAAATGTGCAGTGTCCACACCTGCTTCACTCCAGCAGCAAAGGGGGAGGAGAGAAATAGTTTAAACTGTTTTTTCCCCCCTGTGTCCTAGCCTTCTGTAAGCAAAAGCAGTTGCCTTTTAGCTACARTGAAGCCCACGCAAGGGAGCACAGACACCTCGTGCAGCAGCACCTCCTGCTCCTGGGCATGAAGGGTGTACTGCTCACCTGGCTTCTGGGCTTGCTTGGAGGAGGATGGTGATGCCCAAGACTTGTGCTGCAGCCTTCCCCAGGACAGGGAGTTTAACCCTGAGCGCTTTCCTTACACTGCAAAGCTCCCAACCCGCATGCCTAACATGCGGCGTGTGCATGGTGAAACTGAGGGCAAAAGATGCACTGTTTTCAGTAGGCCGATCTAGAGTTTCAAKAGTTGGTTTGAAGCGTGAGCAGTTAGTTTCCAACCCCTGCTTTGTCCTTATTCACGTGCTGTGGCTGTAGAAACATGCCAAACCCACATCAGTCCATTCCCTGTGTTTCTTAGTGCTCGGGGTTGTGTGGCTTAGCCGGCTTTGGGAACTGAGGAAGCCCAGAACTGTTCCTAAACCGGCCACTGTGTCGGGATTGATTCTGGGCACAGCTCCTTATTCTGTTACCTGAACTGTCCTGGGAAAATAGTCATGATGGTACTGACTTTTCATGAGTCTTAGCTGGTACTGCCTGTTGTAACCTTCCTGGCTTTGGCTGCATGAAATCAGGAGCTCTGTCTTGTGGAAAAGCACCCTTAGGTTCTTGGAATGTCTCTGGCTGCTCTGAGTATCTTGWCCTGGACCCTAAAATGGGATCATCCCCTTGGCGGCCAGTCTGCCTCCGTGGAGTGCCCTGTAAAAGGGGACAGTAAAAGCTCTCTGCTTTCCTGTTGGTTATTTTGGCACTTTACACCTTTTGTGCAGCATTTCTGATAACAGACAGGACCTCGATGTGTCAATGCTCTAACATAAGAGGGAAAAGAAGTGTTTTCTCTTTTGGTTCCTGTGTACATTTAAGGTGATCACCTGTTTGGTTTGCTTTACATTCAGCACACCAAATGCTGCACCTCTCATAAGCCACCTGAGCCATTCCAGGACAGGGGGAGTGTTTAAACAGGGCATGACACAGCCCCAGCACTGAGTGACATTTTTATGGCTAAGCTTTATGCTACAGAAGGGAGTCTGAGCATAAAAAGGGATCCTGTCTTCATTGTGTGTGTGACCCTTAAGTCTCGGTGTGCAGGGGAAGGGGGGACTAAAGAGGCAGCTGCCTGTTGGGTCTGTCCACCTTGGCCTAGGAGGAGCTGGGAAGAGGCGGCTCCGTCCACAYGAGGCCTTGGTGTGCCCGGGAAAGGGACTCGTCCGCGTGCAGCTCCATGAGGCTGAGGGTGCCTCTGGTAAGCCCCTGTGGGAGCAGACAGGGCTTCAAAGCAGCCGGCGCTGCCTGAGCTTCACGAGGCTGGTCCCTTCCCCTCTMCCCCTTCGTGGGGTGACCCTTCATGTAGCACAGAGTAAACTGCTGCTCCTGTTAGCGTGCAGCATCCCTCGAGTGCATCGGTCTCCTTGCTCTGGGGCAGGCTGAGCCGTCCAGCCCCGGCTCACTTGGGCTGCACAGCACCTGCCAGCTTAGGGGAATCCACTTGGATTAACTCTAAGCCAGCCTTTAAAGCTTCATTTGTGACTTTTTCTTCACTTTTCCTAGACTTGGCAGTGTTTGAGCATCGCTCAGGTTATTTATGTTTTTTAACCCATGACTGTTACCTGCAAGAGGAGAGGTGCTGGACTAAGCCCAATGCAGACCCTGGTAGTCTCCCTGGTTGTAGCAGTGCCGCTCGAGCTCCTCCTGGAAACCTCACTTTGCTTTTTGCTTCCTTTGGTTGAAACRAAGGGAAAAGGGAGAAATCTCTCACTTGGGATGGGTGGAGAGAGTAAAAAAACAGTGGGGAAAAAAAAGGTCCCTTTTAAAAAAATAAACCATTCTGCCTGTCATACACGGCCTACATGTTCAGAGATGCATGTTGCTGCTGTCCTAAACCAGTCAGGGCTTATATGCAATCAACCCTTCTCTTATTCTGTCCTAAGTGTCAATGTTGACGTGAATATAGCCACCAACTAATACAAGAAACCCTTTAAAAAGAAGTTCTGATCAAATGACTTGTTTGTGCTTTGAATGCAGTTCTTGTGGAAAGTGGGTCGTTGGCTTGCATCAGCATAATGTTCACTATCTTAAATGCCTTTTTCCATTTCTTGTTTTCCTGTACATTATATTTCAATGAGGGCTGGATAATACAAAGGCATTTGTGTGATGTGGCAAGTGGTCTTGCTCTGCTTCAGCCTGTATTCTTAAAATCTAACAATACCTGGTAAATATATAACCAACCTCCTGGAAGAAAACAATGACCAATTTCTTGTTCCTGTAATCTGAGGTTAGTATCTAAGGTTAAACTACTGCGGACAACATAGGCTTCAGGAAAGATAGATAGTATTTTTGTAGACTAACTTATAAAATGTTCACATATCTACACTGTCTTTATTTAGCAGTGTAATGTATCTAAGTGAATAGTTTCCCAATAAATAACAATTTTGATGCCTAACGAATGAGTGCTGTGTCTTTCATTCTGAGAGCGGCTGAGAAGGGGCTGTAGCTCTTGCACATAAACAGCTGATTAAGAAGCGATGCCTTGAGGCCCGTGATGGGCACCTCAGCTTGGGCTTTGACCTTGGGCAGAGGTTGGATGCGAGGATGCTCTTTCCTCATGGTGAGCTTGGTTGGTTAGTGGGTTCCTTGTCCTGGTATTCAGTACATCCTGACTACCAATGAACCTTGTCCCCCTTTCTTCTTGCAATTCACGTTGCTTAGTTTCACATGCCTCTTTCCTGTCCTCCTGCTAACATGAGTCCAATGACATCCTTCTAACCTGCTAATAGGTCTTTGAAGGTAAGACATCTTCTGTTCTGTCTGTGTGCGTCGTAAGGAAAGAAAAACAAACTCATGGGCTCTTGTAACTGGAGAACAGCAGAATAACAAGCCTCTCCCCACACTGGTCCGTTATGCTAAAACAGAAGTGAGCCAGCTGGTTATGGCTATGCTAGGTATTTCCCTTGAAATCATAGTATAGGTTGTTTAAAAGCTCTTTGTCTTGCAGTGGCTTAAATTAATGCTGCTGTAGTTGACTATTTTAAAACTATAGACTGACACTTGTTCTCTCCCAAAAACGTATATGTTATTTGAACGATTGCCTCTGTTTTAGATGCACATGAGTGCACAATTCCACACTGGTGAGATGGCTGCCAAGAGGCTCTGCCAAGCAATAAATCTGTTTATAGGGTGCTCCTGAGTGGACAATGATGCCAAATAAAATGCAGAAACTCTGTCTATTGGAGCTTTACCCCAGGCAACAAAATTGAAAACCTCTCTGATGGTCATGTTGTGGGCGGCTTAAAAACATCCTTGTAGAATGGTGTTGAGAGGAGCTTGAGTGTGTCCATTTGTGTGTCTTGCATCTTCCATCTTTCTCTAAAAACTCGTGGTGCCCTGAGCTGCAAGGCAGTGCTGAGCTGTGTTTTAATTTGTGTGCAGTGAGCAACTCCCTGGCATTCTTTTTTCTCTTGCTGGCCTTCCCTTTCCTCCCCATTTTCCATGCGTGATGGTGGTTTAAGGCTGAACGTCATGACGCGTCTTGTGTAATAAGTATCTTTCATGCTTTTTTATGACTAAGGGTATGTACCCTGATGAGTAACACTCCTCTTTTCGCTTTTGTAGGTCTGCAGAGAGATCCAGCCCTATTTCCAGGTGTAGCTCTTGAGCTCTGTAGAGGACCCTCTGGCAGTGATGGACACCCATTGTACAAAGGTCAGTCCGAGACGCTGGAGGTGAAAACTCAACACAACTCAGACTCGGACTTCTTAACAAGAGATGGGCCTTCAAGCAACAGCTCCTTCCACAGCAGTGAAGGGGAGGGGACAGATCACGAAGGAGATATATTGGATTGCAGCGGGTCCAGGCCTTTACTCATGGATTCGGAAGAGGAGGACGACACCGGCAAGTTGCAGTCTGTGCCGAAGGAAAGACATGAGGCTTCCAAAGAAGATTCCCGCTCCCAGTCTTCCCAGAGTAGAATGGGGGAGATGATATTCCCCGCCTTTCAGCCACAGACTGGTGAGGTTTTTAATGAACCAGATGTTTTTGCCACGGCCCCTTTCCGAAGCTCAAGAAAAGTGCTCGAGGAGGCAGATGTCTTTACCAAAGCTCCTTTCATCTCCAAGGGCAATATGGCTCTTAGACACCCAGAAGAGACAGATGTATTTCTGAGAGCACCTTTCACTAAAAAGAAAAGCATGGAAGAGTTGACTTCTCATGGTGTTCCTAAGGAACCGTTCACATCGCCTGTTTTCATAAACCAAGTGGGTGATGTCCAACCCGTGGTCACTCCTACGTTCCAAAGCCTGGACGCAGCCATGCGTGGGCCTGCTGCCTCAGCTAGATCTCCGTACCCCGCCGTAGGGTTCATTCAGCCAGTTCATCTTCCATCCTCTTCCGCCAGAGCGATGGAGCCCCAGGACACCGTTCCTGCCCCGTGTGTGCTGAAGGAGCACAGTGGCACGTCCAGCGAGAGAACCCCAGCAGGACACGCGCTGCCGCAGGAGGCCGTCCTGGGCTCGGGGGTCAACACGCCTTTCCGTCCACAGTCCTTATCCAAATATTCCCGTCACTACAGCCCAGAGGATGGGCAAGGCCTCGAAGTGAAGCCTATAGCTGCTTACAAAGTGGTTTCTCAGACCAACAGACAGGCTATAGCAGGATCTGTCTCTGTTGCTTCTCTGTCTTCCAGGACTACAGAGCTGCCTAGTGGGGATCCTTTTGCTTCAGCTCCCTTTCCTTCCAAAGCAGGAAAGCCTTAATCTGTGTGAGCTGGGAGGTGTCTTCTGCCAGGACCATCTCTCGTAGGACCTTGAACCTCTTAGTTGAATTGAACAACACAGCAATATATTATATATATATATATATATTTTTTTTTTTCCTTTCGGTCAGATTTCTATTTGCAGTGATACATAGTTGAACTATTCTAAGTTATGTTAGCTGGTCCGAATGCCTGGCACTCAGGATCTTCATATCCTTTTAAGTTACTTCTTTCCTCTTTCACTGTCTCCCACCCCTCTTACTTGTAGATGCTTTTCCAAACCAGTAGCGTTCCGTTCTTTCTGGCTCTGGCTGGGGAAATGCATTGTAAGATGAATTGCAATGTTCAGTGATTGCAGAGCGAGTCAAGCAGGACRGGCTAGTGCTCTGGAAAGGAAACTGTTTCACAGGTTGAAGGGTTGTCGTGACTTCTTACCAAATGGGAACTTCTGGAGGAGATCGGAGTAGCCTGTTCCTGGTGATGGTGACAAGGGAAACCTGGCAGCTGTAGCACGGGGTTAGTTTTGTCATGAATTGTGTGTGTGCTCATAGCTTGTGTGCAGGGTGAGCGCCAGCTGTGTAGCCAGCCCCCTACCGTGAGGCTTGTGCAGCGCCAATGTGCATGTCCCCCACATTCACGAATCAAAACTATTACTGCTGTTACCTGGAAAATGAGAAGATCAGGAAGAACTTTGACTTTTACATGTGTAGTTCCTGTCTGGTTTATGCCAAAGCGTAGGACCCTGCAGTTTCGTTTACGGTGTCGTGAAGGAGAGAGCTATGCATTGTTACAGTATTAAAGTGCACCCTATGGAAAAGTATATTGTGGAAACAGCTTGATGAGGTCCTTATCCTACATACCTCATTCGGTGTAGTTCAGCAGGGGCTGCAATCCAGTTACACTAACTTAYACTAGCCAAGAACTCGGCTCTATATTTACACAACCTGCCTTTGGTTCTCTTGTCCCTCGAGGTGAATCTAAACAAAATCTACTTGCACTCCAGTGAGTAACATTTCCTTTACTCTAGAAGTACTGCACTGCCTGCCCTGCTCCTAGACATCTGCTTTTTATCACTGCTGTGATGAATCCCCAGATTGTGTTTGGAGGAAACTAGTCATGAAGGTTAACCCCAACTAGTTGTCACATGCTGGTTGCTGGGCCAGACCAAAGCTGAGTTTTGTTCCTCTCCCTTTCCAGTAACGTGAGATATAGACAAGACAGCGAAACCTGCCCCCTTCCTTGTTCTCAACCCTTCTTAAGACATAAGATRTCTTGGAACTGGCCAGCAAATGTGATCCATAAGCATGGTCTGACTTCAAAATACCCAGATATTGGGACTCATTGGGCTCCCTGCATCCCAGCAGATGCCAGTGCTGCAGAACGTCTCCTGAGACGATCTTTGCTTTATTTCGAAGGGTTTGCTAGCTATGGAAAAACTCCCGTTGGCTCCAGGGGTTTTTTGGCAAGTCTCTTAAAAGCTTTGCTCCTTGTTGTGGCTGTTTGCGAGGTGAACTGCATCGTCGTGGTGTGAGCTGGAGCCCTGCGGTGGGGCCAAGGACACGTGCTGCCTTTGCAGCCCAGGGTCTCGGTTTGACTGACCCAGTGTCTACGCAGGCATTATAGGCACAAAGTGATGTGCAAATAGGACTTAGCGCTGCTCCAAATGTCCTTTTCAGTCCCCARACTTGGTTCCTCTTCAAAACATCTCCAGCCACGAGAGCTGAGCCAAGTGCTGCTGATGGGCATGCTCAACGTGGCCTGGAAGCAAGAGAGAACTTGTTCTAAAGTCTAAAAAGCCACAGGGCACAGAGACAGTATTTGAGGGCAAGAGGCCAAGTCGGCTTGCACAGTTCAGCTGCTGACAAAGAACGACTTGCTGAGCCCGGCTGAGGTCATGTTGTATGGACCTGGCCTGAGACTTTCTGAACTAGAGTCAATATTGGTGCACACGGCTTGTTTAGAGGCTTTTTCCTGTGCTCTTCTCTCACCAATCCTAGAAAATGAAGTACTGTAAAGATATTTCTGGGTTTCTCCCAAGAAGCTGCTCCGGCTGAGCTCAAGCTGTTGCCTATTGTATTTTTTGTTGTCATTGAGGTGTTTTTTTATTTTTTAAAGGAAATACCTGAAAGGAACTGACCAAAGAGGTTGCTGCTGGATTGGAGCAATGGGAGATGCTGAGAACTGTGATACAAAACTGTGAAATTTGAGGGCTACGAAGGAGACGGAGCTTGAGGGCCCCAACTCATTTCAACACGCGGCCTCTCAGGGCCTCGCGTGCAGCCAGGAGAGACAGTTTGTCCCCAGGCTGCTCAGTGCCCTTAGGGGCCTGMTGGAAGTGCAGGAATGAGGCTTGCTGTTAGAAGATGCTCTGCTAGGATGAGCAGGTACCACGTGTAAATAAGCTGCAGGTTCAAGGTATTACCTCCAGTAACTGGATTCAGCCGCTCCTTCCTCTCTTTCATTTTTACTTGAAAAGTTGCTTTGGGATAATTCTGTGAAACGTCCTCAAATGCCGCTTTTTGTTTCACGTCCACTACTGGGAACGTCCAAATGAGCAAAAAGGAAAACAGGGCTACGGAGGGGCCGAGGGGCTGTCGGAGCCCTGAGCGGTAGGACGAGCCCTCTGGATAACGCAGGCACGAGGGCTCTGTGTTCACAGCAAGCCATGCATTTGGGTCTGGGGGCACGGCGTTTCCAGCTAGTGTTTGGGCAGCTTCTGTTCTTCAAGCACTTTACACAGCAGAGCAAGCTACTCATGCTCCGAAAAGCTCATGATCCTGCCAGCGTGTCCAGCGTTGAGAGGAGGTTTAATATAGAGGGGTGGGAGGGAAGGAAGCTGGTGTGAATCTTTACATGTGACCTCTGAGGTAGCGCATCTTTTGGTCAGAAAATTGAGTTTTAATGCCCATTAATCTGACCCATTTGCATTTTCAACTTGTGTTCCTCCTAGCCCTACATTGCCAGTGCTGCAGCTTTAGTGGGATGTTACAAGCAGAAATGTCATTCCTGTAGCTTATCAAGTTGACTGTTTTTGGTGCACTCGGAGAAAGGATGCTTACAGTTTTCTTTGCCACCCCATGGGTAAGGGTAAGCAGCGGCATAGCTTGAGCTCAGCATTTGAAAGCTGGTTTTCTGAACAGAACCACTGCTCTCACCATTATAAAGCTGCGCTGAATGTCTGTTACCGTCCTGCAGCCTCCCAGCCACTCCTCCGCCCGGATCCTTCCCAGAGCTGCCCTGCGACAATCCTGCACTGGGAGAAGGGCTGGCTCCGTCATCCCTGCTGTCCTCACCTCAAATGCACTTAAAATCCTGCCCTCCAGCGCGTTCACTTGGAGCTTCTGCATGCAAAGAGCTCTCGGTGCTCCATGGCCGCTGCCAGCGYGGGACGGGACCAGGCGCCGTCGTGTCGCCCTGCGCTCTGCCCATCCGGCCCAGTATTCCCAAGACTCTTACGTGCGGCTCAGCTCCCAGCCAGCTCCAGGCTATCGTCCTGCTGGTAAGTGTGAAGTTTACAGTGTCTGGAAGCCAGCGCACACCCGATGGTCGCCGGCGTGCCCAGCTCCGGAGCCCCAGCACCTCTTCACTTGCACCTAATCAAGCAAGACTGCCATCTGCAGAATCCTTACACTCTCAATCACTCCAAAGTGGGAATTGGTGACTATCTCAGCTTCCACCAAAGACCGTTGTGTTGGGGAGTTGAACTGGGGTCTTTTTTCTCTTTATTTTTTTTTAATGGTGTTAAATCACGGCTTTCCRACACACAAAAGACTGGCGCGCTCTCGCAGCAGGTCTTGGCAGTGTCCTGAAACCCAACGGGCTTCCTCGGTGTTTCTGATGTGCAGCCGTGGCCTGGCGCTGAGAACGAGTCACCAAGGGGCTCCCCCCGCCACACCCCAATYCCTCCTCCCAAAAGGGATAAATAATTGTATGCAACTGTAGGGAGGAGGTCTTTTTTATTTTATTTTCTGTTAGTGTTTTTCTAAGTGTCCGCTTGTTGGGGATGAGGAGATGGTGAAGCGCTACCACCACCCCAACGCACCCCAAGCTCCCGCCGCCTCTGTGACAGGCTGGGAGCATCCGTGTCCTCTGCTTGCTGTGACACATGTCCCCGCGGGACTCCTGGGCATCCTGAGAGCCGAGTTTCCTTGGAGCTGCATTGTTTTTAGGGCAATAATGAGCAGTATTGGCAATCCCTCCAGCTCACGGGTAGATGGAGTCAAGTGTCGCACTCCAGGCAAAATCGGTTACGTTGGCGATAATCTCTATGAAGAAACATTCACGTTGTAAACTTATGTACATTTTATTAAAACTGTACCTGATTAAAACACTCCTTTGCTGCTGTGTGGTCATTTCCCTCTGCTCATATAAACAGTTTCCCCAAATCCTGGTGGCCTYCAAGCCCGTGGACACCTGAACCATCGTGCGGTCGCGGAGGCCRACTGTGAAGCAGCGATTGGAATCTTCCAAACTCAGGGTTCCCATCCCAAAGATCCCGTGTTAACTTATAAACATTTTTAACCCACTAACTTACAAATTTTTTTTTCTGCAGACCCAGGCCTGGTAGGTTCCAAGGAGGAGGGCTCAACTCCCCCTTTCTTGGTATCTCCAGGGGTGAGTTTTGATTTTAGGGGACAGCCTGTCTGTCCTTGAAGGTCCGCAGGGCACCCCACAACCTCACTCGCCACACCCTCTGCTCCTTTCCATCCCTGCCTCTGCCGCGCACCTCCCTCCCTCCCTTTGCACCCAGCGTGTCCCCCCTTTGCGGTGACCATGTCCCGCCCTTGCGCGCGCGCGCCCGTTGCGCGGCACCCCCCTGGCGCGCGCCGCCGCTGCCGCGCGCGCCATTTCCCGCCCTTGGCCGCCAGGGGCCGCGCCTGAGGCGGCGGCCGGGGGAGCGCTAAGATGGCGGCTGCGCGGGGCCTGTGCGCGGCTGCGGCGCTTCGCGGCCGGTAGGTGAGCGGGGCTGYCCGGCCCCTCGCGGCCCCTGCAGCCGCTCTCCCCTCGCGGGGCCTTCCCCTCCTTCGCTGGCCGCAGGGTTTTTCTCCCCCTCATGGTTGGGGCCGGGCGAGGCGTTAACCGCCCTTCCCCGGGCGCCGCGGCCCCGAGAGGCCCTCGAGCCCCGCGGCGTGGCGGCCCCCGAGGGGGAATCTCCCCGTATAGGAACATATCGGAACATATAGCGCGGCTTAGTTCCCCGCAGCGGGCAGGAAGGCCCGGGAGCGAGGGGAATCCCGCCCCACGTGCGCTCAGCTCCCTGTAGTGAGGGGGGTTTCTTCCTGCATGTGTTTAGAGTGGTGTATTGAGGGCACGTTCCCCCCGCCATGTTCTTAGGACCCTATAGGGGGGATTAATCCCCCCAACATGCAGTGAAGACCATRTATAGAGGTAAGAATGTCCCTCCACGTGTGTATAGGCCCGTGTGTTGAGGGGTAATTCTCCCATATGTGTGCTCAGGACCACATATTGAGGGGATATCCCCCCCAGGTATTCTTAGCACCATATAGTGTGGGGTAATTGCCCCAGCATGCACCAAAGACCATATATACAGTGTGGGGAAAGCTACTCTTCGCTGTACACTGAAGAGGAGGAGAAAAAAGGATAACTACTGTCTTGTGTATTAATATTTATCTGATCTGTCTTCCCCATAAAGGGCTGCTTTGGCCACGTTTTCTAGCTTTTGCTTTGTTTTGCAATATCTGGGCACCTCCAGAGACAGGGGAAAGGCCTTCACCGCAGCATAGCTTGAGCCCATAGCAYGGTGTTTTCTTATAAAATGCTATAAAATGCCAAGATGGCAGCGCTCACTTTGCAGCTGTTTGCAGTAATRTTGCCTCTGGAGTTTGTGCAGAATGACATGTCTGACTAGTTAAAAATCAGGAATTTACACATAAACATTTTGGGTTGTTGGATGTGTGTACAGTTACAGATGAAGGTAGGTGAGTGTTTACTAAATGGTGGGGATACCAAGGGCATGTGAAATTCTCTTTCTTTGGGGTGCTGAAGAAGTGACAGCTCCTAATTTGGAATAGTTATCAAAACTGATTTCTTTCTAGGTTCTGTCATGTGATGAGAAAAGACCATAATTTGACAACTAAACTGTCTCTCCACCAACTTGTACAAAAGAAGCCGTTTCTCCCATCTGTGGTAGTGCGTAATGCAGGTAAATACAGATTAAAAAGAGGTACAAATAAACAATGACTGTATTGTGGGATTTTTTACTTTATGTTAGTAATAAAGGTATACTTTTTCTGAAATCTGAGTTTGGCAAAATATTCTCAATGTTTTTTAATGAGACACAAGCACATGTCGGACTTGGAGAGATGGCTTGAATTGCTTACTTCCATACTTCATAATTTAGGCTTTTTCTGTATCACAGAGCTGCCAAAGACTGGTAAGGAGTTTTGCTGGTGCAAAACATCCCATTTGGACTGTGCTGCACTTGGTGTGAATACATCCTTTGTGAAAGACCTCCTTTCAYTGGCTGTTCTGTTGACTTCATGACCATCCAGGACATAATCGTACGAATACAAAGATGGAGCCTTTCACTTTTACAGCAGTAATGTGATTTGCTGGACTTTTTTTTTAATTTTTCTGCTTCTAGGTATGTTTCCATGTATGTATCTGGTCTGATCTAGAGCTCGGGATATTCACACTTGAAGTAAATCTTGCTTTTTTTTTTTCCATTTTGCTCCAGTTCCTATTTGTGCTTGTGTTGTGATTCAAATCTATCTTACTAGCAAAACAACCCCTGCCTTCCCAGCTCATTAGCCTATGCAGTCTTTTCAGTGATCTGTGCCTGGTATAAATTGTTCGTAATTATGTCGTGCAGACTTGACCTGACATTTTTACTTCAGGTTAAAGACGTCTGTAGTAAATGAAATGTGTGTATGAGGCGATCAGAGTTCAGGCTCTCACTTACACCACTGTCTCTGTGCAGGAGAAAAATGATGCGAAATAGCAAAGGCCCCATCAAAGGATATGTTCCCCATTCCTCTTATCTGCAGTGGTAACTTGATGAAAA